ATTGCGTTACAACCTCATGGCGATGACCTCCAAATTCTAGAACTACGTTAAGTTACTTATTACTTAAAACTTGCAGGACCAAGCATCAATCAAAGTCAATTCAGCACTATTGACATTTCTTAAGCAGAGAAAAGTTCAAGATCCCACACGACTCGGACAAGCTAATTATCTATGAGTTCATCTCAGTACATGTGCTGCATCCACCAATCATACACCTGTCAACAAATACTAACCGTTCGATTAAAGCAAACCATATTGATTTCAGATCAAAAGATGCACGGTGGAACTTTTTCTTTTCTTTTTTTTCCCGCCATCCTCAATTTTCTCCATTCCGTTTTTAGGAAGTCATGGTGGACCCCACATTGGAACAGTAAATTTACATCTCCATAAACCTCTCGAACATTTAGGGGGGTGTTTAGGGGCTGTTTGTTTCACCAAGGACTAGGAATAGGATTAGGAATCCTATTTAATTTATGGATTCTAACCTAATCCATAAAAATTTTATGGACAAGTTTGAGTTTTATGGAATCCCACTTTTTTTGGCTTTTAATGTTTGTTTCACCCAAAGGATTAGTAATCTCACTTTTATAGAATTGGTCCAATTCCTAATACCATGTTTGGTTCAAGAAGAATATTTTTCTTGGGATCGTTACTGTAGCAATGGCCATCTCAATTTTCATTTAAAAAATACTGTAGCAACGGATTTAAGCCCCCAAAATCATATTTCCAGCAGCAAACACCGTAACAAAATTTACATATCACTGTAGCAACGGATTTAAGGCTCAAAAATCAGATTTTCAAGCAGCAAACACTGTAGCAACGGCCATTTCTTATACAAATCACTGTAGCAACGTCTATTTTAGGGGCATGGTGGCTATAAATTCACCTTGAGGCCTCACAAATAATCCCATCATTCTCATTTTTCAACAATAATAAAATTCCCAAGCTCTTCAATTTGCTGCCCCGACATCAAGGATGATATCAGAAGAGTGCTGGCAGAATTATGAAGTTTATTGCGACTGCAATCTCCGAACACCGATGAAAGTGTGCAAGAATGGAAAAATAATGGTAGGTGTTATTGGGGGTGTGCAAAATTTCCAAATAAAGAATGTAATTTTTTCGTATGGGCTGAAGAAAGAGGAGAGTCATCAAGCACCCAAGGAAGCCAATATGTCAAAGAAAATAGGTACGGAGATAAATATATCTTGCAATCAAAGAAGCTGAAGAAAGAATTGAGACTTGTCGAAAATCAACTACTAGCTTGGAAAAAATTTTGTGTTATTTTAATTATTACAAACTTCATGTCATGTACTTGTAATTGCAAAAACTATTGAGGATGTAATGAAAACTGTTGTTTTAATTGGGTACAAATTCTAATTGATATTGTATGGCTCAGTAATAGATCAACTTGTCATCATTGATTGCCCCACTTATAACTTACATGTTTATTACAGATTGCATTATAAGGATGAATTGCCTCGCCTAGACATTGTCAATTCAATGTAGGCTGCAATCTCATCCCCTCTTACCTCATCTGGATATAATAAACGATATAAGTTAGACTGCATTCTCAGTAAACGCTGATCATCATCATTGCCATATATCAAGTGCAAGGAGCTGCACAAGCTCAAAACTAAACAGCAAGTAACCCACAGGCTCGGAAAAACAAAACAGCAGCATGGTGAGAATGTATGATGGGGAAAAACAAGCAACAAACCCCAGCTCTTGCAAGCACAAACCCAGCAACAAAACAGCAACAAACCCAGCAGCAGCAGGAGCTGCCAAACTGAGGAAAAATAGGCACAAACCCCAGCTAGCAAGGAGCTACACAAGCCCAGAATAAAACAGCAACAACCCCATTAGCAAGGAGCTACACAAGCTCAAAAACAAAACAGCAGCAAACCTAGCAGACAGGGGGTAAACAAGCAACAAACCCCAGCTCCTGCAAGCACAAACTCAGCATGCAAGGAGCTACACAAGCTCAGAACGAAACATCAACAAATCCCACCTGCAAGGAGCTACACAAGCTCCAAAAACAAAACAACAACAACCCCAGCAGCAGCAGGAGTAAACAAGCAACAAACCCCAGCAGACAGGGGGCAAACAAGCAACAAACCCCAGCTCCTGCTGCAGACGGGGTCAACAAGCACAAACCCTTCAACAAAACAGCAACAAACCCTTAGCTTCAGCAGCAGGAGCTGCAAAACTGGGGAAAAACAGGCACAAACCCCATTAGCAAGGAGCTACACAAGCTCAAAAACAAAACAGCAACAACCCCATTAGCAAGGACCTACACAAGCTCTAAACAAAAACAGCAGCAAACCCATCAAACAGGCGGTAAACAAGCAACAAACCCCACCAAGCCCTAGCACAAACCCAGCAACAAAACAGCAACAAACCCAGCAGCAGCAGGAGCTTTCAAACAGAGGAAAAACAGGCACAAACCCCAACTAGCAAGGAGCTACACAAGCTCAGAATAAAACAGCAACAACCCCATTAGCAAGGAGCTACACAAGCTCAAAAACAAAACAGTAGCAAACCCATCAGACAGGGAGTAAACAAGCAACAGACCCCAGGTAATGCTAGCACAAACCCAGCAACAAAACAGCAACAAAACCAGTAGCAGCTTGAGCTGCAAAACTGGGGAAAAACAGGCACAAACCCCAGCTAGCAAGGAGCTACACAAGCTCAGAATAAAACAGCAACAACCCCATTAGCAAGGAGCTACACAAGCTCAAAAACAAAACAGCTAGCACAAACCCAGCAACAAAACAGCAACAAACCCAGCAGCAGCAGGAGCTGCAAAACTGGGGAAAAACAGGCACAAACCCCAGCTAGCAAGGAGCTACACAAGCTCAGAATAAAACAGCAACAACCCCATTAGCAAGGAGCTACACAAGCTCAAAAACAAAACAACAACAACCCCATTAGCAAGGAGCTACACAAGCTCAAAAACAAAACAGCAACAACCCCATTAGCAAGGAGCTACACAAGCTCTAAACAAAACATCAGCAACCCCAGCAGCAAGGAGCTACACAAGCTCAAAAAAAGCAGCAACTAACCCAGCTAGCAAGGAGGTACACAAGCTCCAAAAAATAGCCACAAATCCAAACTCAAGGAACCACACAAACCCAAGAACAAAACAGTAACAAACCTGATGGCAAAATAACCCAAAGCCAAATAGCTAATAAAGCAAAGGAGCAACATTAAGAGCTCATTGGTCATGCCTATCCATACTTACCTGCATCAAAAGTTAAAAAGTACCAATTCATTAATTACATGACGTCATAGCGTTTTCATAACAAGAAGTATTGCAACATTAATAGTTTGCAAATAACAAAATGATATATGCGCAACAACATATACGTGTGCACAACAAAATGCTCCATCCACATGTAATCCAAACCGCACAAATTAGTTAACAGACCAACCTTGGTCATTAATCAGGTTGGTAATGTACCTCTGCTGACCTTCCTTTCCTTTTATGAAAAACCTTCTAGCTTCACGTTCATTGTCATATAAGTGATCTAAAATCCTATCCAGGAATTCCTCAGAGTATTCATCCCTATGTTCCTTCAACGCTGCAGCCAATTGTTCAGTCCAATGAACAATGTGTTGATTTCTCATGGACTGAGACATTGAGTCAACAAAGGCACATAACATCTCCTCTTCACGATTTGATTTTTTAGGTTTCTTGTTAGAAGATGAATTCATGTTGTCTTTACTCTTAGACTTACATCTAGTTGGTTGTTGTTGGTTACAAGCATCAGATTGTGGTGTAGTTCCACTCTCCTCTGGAATTTCACTATCATCTTCAGGAATAGGTATGGACCTACTAGACCCAATGTTAGCATACACAGGCCTAACAAATTCACCCTTAGCTTGGTCATCACCCATGATAGTTTGTAAATTTTTGAAGTGAGGTAGGGGTTTGTTTATGTACGCTTTGAACTTAGATTTGGATTTGTCCTGCAACAACAAATAATCATAAGTTGTGAACCAAATGTATTAATTACTAACAATAATGTAGATGCTGAATGTTATACCTGAGACCACGATTTCAAGGTTTCGTCATCTAGTGTAATCATTTTATTTATTTTATCCCACCCAGCTCCACTTATATCAAGGCAAGCCTTCATGTCATTGAATTTGTTTCTCAAGCATTTCAAGTGGTTAATGACATGTATATGAGTGAAATCAGTCCTAAATTGCATGTTGATTTTCATCGCTGCCATTTTATAAGCTCTGTCTTGAAGTTCTTGTCTGGCTTTAGCCCATCTAATGCTAATTCTGCAAGATAAGGAATGAGAACGTCATCGTGCTCTGGAAGCCAAAACTTATTAGCCACACCTCTTGAGTTCAACCTTGCCCCCAGTCCCGATTTCTTATGAGCTAATTTTTTCCCTTTTTTTATTGGTGAAGTATGCTCCTCACAATCAACATCATGAATAACCTTCTCTGCTGAATCCCCAGTGTTTGGTGAAAATTGATTGGGTCCACTACTTTGAGAACTAGCTGTGGGAAATAGCAAACCTTGTGGGCTGCTTAACATGCTCACTTATGACATTGGTTGCTGTGTCATTCCACCATAATTAGCATCATATAATGAGAATGTTGAGAATGTATGATGGGGTGAAGAGAAAGGTTGTGGTTGAACAGGCGTGAAGTTCATGTTTATGTTAGCAGCTAGATTTGGCGGAGCATTAGAATGAGAAGGCAGGGGCTACTTATCTGCCTTATTGTTAACCATACCTAATATATATTAAACAAGTAGACATTATTATTAAAGAAAGCAAAATCAATATATAATATGCATGCATTTAGCAATATGCGTTAAAAAAGAAATATACGAAACGCCTATATGTATAGAAACAACATGAAAAGGTCGAAGATGATAATCGTAAAAATGTTTAGTACATGCTAAGAAACATTAAAATGGATAGTTGCAAACAGTAAGAAAATAATACAAGTTATTACATCGAGATAGAACAAACATCACATTAAGCTAAACCACTTTCCATTGTGTTACCACCATTATACTTTGCACAATAATCCACCCACATCGCCCAAGCAATTTGATCTCGTAGCTCCTTCCATTCATTTCTTTCATCTTCCTCTCTCTGTGTCCTAGTTTGAGTATAATCCACCACACTTGAGTCATCGTCATTTGTCACTTCCCCATTATCTTCATCAATGTCTATATTTTCATTTAAAATATCATCATCTGGATCTTCTATAGCAATGAAATTGTGTAACACGGTACACGCTAGTACAATGTCCACTTGAGTGGGAAATGGATAATTTGGCTTCGCCGATAGTATTTTAAACCGGTTCTTCAATATACCAAATGTGCATTCAATTTTTGATCTTAAACTTGAATGCCTTAAATTAAACAACTCTTTTCTATTCTTTGGTGTCCTACCGGTGTGCTCTTTTAAATGATATCGTACACCGCGATATGGGGATATGAAGTCTGGCATTGTGGTGTATCCCGCGTCACATAGGTAATATTTACCTACATTACAATTAAACAATATCTTCATATAACACACTATTGACAAGTATTTAATTTTTTCTTAATTGTGAACGAGTAAGAATTAATACCATCATAAACTCGAAGCCCGTAAGGCTGTGGTCTCGACAAAGCATCCTGTAATATCCTATAATCATTTGCTGCTCCCCCCCACCCAGCTAGGACATAGGTGAATAGTTTATTAGGGGTGCATGCTGCTAGGACGTTTTGTGTCACACCTTTTCTCCCTCTAAAACGGGCAACTAGGTTACTGGGTAATACTGCGTCAACGTGTGTGCCATCTATCATACCAATGCAATCCTATAAAAAAATATAAGTTAATATATATTCAATAAAATACATATTCACTTTAAAACAGATGTTGAGGTGTATGTATTATTTTTACCTTGAAGTAAGGAAAATAATTTGGGTTGTTTGCAATCTCTGCAGGAACTTCATTTGGAGCTTGCTTCATATAGCGATCACGTAACCCATTCATTGCTTGTAGGACTTTATTGAAATACCTACTCACTGTTTCTCCCGATCTTATGAACTCAGTCCTTATTATTCTATTTTTAGTTTTATGCCCCACTATACTCAGGAACATAGCGAGCTGTTCTTCGACTTGAACATGTCTTGAATCCTCTAATAAACCGTTTTCTTTCATTACTGCAGCAAGTTTAAAAAAGGCACTCGGTCTCATTCTAATGTAAGACCGACAACTATCACTATAGCCTTCCAATACACGTTTGAAGTGAGCTTCTCTGCAATAAATTTTTTGGATTTTTTCCTCCTTCGTACAAGATGAAATTCTCTTGCGCTTAGCACGCATTCTCAGAATACATGTTATTATTGTGACCACCGCAGACACAGCTGTATTAGCACACATCCTCTTCAATTGTTCTTCATCTACGTTTTCCATCTAAATCCATTGTAAAATTAGCATATATTTACAACTTAACAGTAATATTGTTTGAAAACTAAAGATAAATAAATAACTAATAAAAATATTAAAATCATAAAACCATATATCTACATATCCACAAATATATATAAAGTAGTGAAACTTTCATTTCATATTTTGCACCCTAAGCATGCACGCTGATCAAACAAATGTAATTAAGTTTTCCTTTCCATGGTTTAGTCATTTGAAATTCTACAACAACAAGCCCAGAGAACCAAAGCTCACTAATCAACTATATACCAAAACCCCACAGACAAATAGATGCCAAGCAGTTGCGAATGAAACCCCACTAACAAATAATTCTAATAAAATCAGTAATAAACTATATACCCACATCAAACAACCACCGAACAATACCCTTGTTTCAATAATTAAACATATACCAAATTCAATAATTCCACTACCAATGTTACTTTAATCAGAGCAAGCACAATTAAATAATCAAATTAAAAGGGTTAAATTGATTTATACCTGCAGATGCCAAGTTGTTGCGAAGGGAAAAATTCAAAAATTGATGTCGTTACCAACAAACCCCACCGGACGGAACAACCAGCAAACCGAAGAACCCAACAATATCAAAGATCAGCGGGAGAAAGAACAGCATAAAAAACCCAGAAATTGATGTCGTTACCAACAAACCCCACCAACAAAGATCAAAATCGAAGAACAGCGGACAGCGGGAGAAGCCGAGCCCAAAATCTAGGGCAAATCCACAAACCGAAGAACCTAACAACAAGATCAAAGATCAGCGAGAGAAGAACAGACAGCAAGCCCAGAAATTGATGTCGTTATCAACAAACCCAACCAACCAAAAACAATATCGAAGAACAGCGGATCGCGAGAGAAGCCGAGCCCAAAATCTAGGGCAAATCCACAAACTGAAACCCAAATAATATCGAAGAACAACGAGAGAGGAGGCGCGAAGGAACTTGGGAGAGGCGGGAGAAGAAACGCCCAGTTGCGATTCCAGAGCTAGGGTTCGAAATCGAGAGGATTAGGAATCAGAAAACGAAAACAGTGGCAAATGTCAGATTTCTCGCCCAAATCCTCTCCCCCCCTCCGATTTCGGTTTCTTGAAAAAACCACGACTGTAGCAACTTTATGGAATACGTAATCCATAAATTTTTCCCCAGCCAAACTCTAGATTAGGATTCACAAAGATTCCATAATTTACAATTTTGCCACTGTCAGACCCCTAATACTAATCCTTTTCTATAAAAGTGTGAAACAAACAGCCCCTTATGTCAAATCCTATAATTTTAGGATATGGATTTCACCATGGGGTTTGAAATTCATAGGTGTTTTATTATGGGTTGGGATTTCTAAAATGTTGTTTGTTTTATTAATATTTTGAGATTTGGAATACTACAATTTATAATATTTTATTTCTTTCAAGCTCAAAATCACTAGTAGAACATCACATATCCTAGACGGACTATTCTAGACGGAAATTTTTCCGTCTAGTTTGCTATTAAACTAGACGGAAAATTTCCGTCTAGAATATTCCGTCTAGAATAAACATTCTAGACGGAAATTTCCGTCTAGAATAGAAAAGTAAACGGATTTTTTATTTTTATTTTTTTTAAAAATTAACCAACTATCCTAGACGGAAATTTCCGTATATTATACATCCTAGACGGAAATTTCCGTATAGTATACATCCTAGACGGAAATTTCCGTCTAGGATACGTTACCGATTTTTTAAAAAATTTAACCCATCAAAATTTCGCCGTCCCCGTTTCCCCCCAAAATTTCATCACCCATATTTCCCCCAAAACCGAAATTTGCAGAAAAAGCTATCTTTCACCTCCTACTCTTCTCCCCCTCTCTAATCACCACCCTCTCCGGCGAAATCGGTTCCCTCCTCTCCCAAACCCATTACACTCCACCCGAATCCGACTCCATCTCCGTCAAATCCCTCCTCCAATCCCTCCTCCCCCAAAACTGAGCCTTCTCCTCTCCCGAACAAACCCTAGATTTCCTCCTATGCCTCTGTTTCCTCTCCTCGCCCCTGCTCACTTCCCACCCTCGATGCACCTCTCTATCCTCAATAGTTCTCGAAACATCGGCCGGCGAGCTCATGGCGAAGGAGCGGAGGCAATTGAGGAAAGAGCGGAGGCATCGATCGATGGAGAATCTCTTGAGCTCGAAGTCAAGCACAAGGATAACGGCTCTTGGCACCCTTGCTATGTTTCACTGAGGTCTATTTTCCAATCCTTTAGACTTGAAATTCTGAGGGCTTTAATAGGTTTTTTAGCTTGATCACAGGTTTTTATGAGCGAAGTATGTTATTGGGTTTCCCTTAAAATGTTTAGATTCTTAGTATACAACTTGATTTCCGAGTGTTTTACCTTTTGGCCTGAGATTTATTTGTAGACTTTGGGGTTTTGAAGTACTTCTTCATGCAAGTTGCCAAAATTATAATAAAAGCACAAGTTTAAATATATAATTTGAAAGTGCAACCGGTGTTAGTTGCTTGCTGATGTCTTGGAATGCAGTAATGGTGTTTTTAAGTGCCCTTTATGTGTTTGGACCTCGAAAAAGTCTTCACTTGGAAGCAATTATCTAAAGCAAACAGTGGGAATAAAACCTCAAGTTATAAAGGGGAAACATCCATCTCCATAAAACACTCAAGAGTTTGGAGATAGTAATGGTTCCCTTTTATATTGGGGCTTTTGAGAAAATGGTTTCTTTTTATTAACACTAATAAATTATGAAGCTATCAAGTTGAATATTCTATTTGAGATCATTTTTTGAACTTGTTATGCACTGGTGTTTCTGCGAAGTGGGAAAGAACTCTCCTGGTAATATTGATGCTTTGCAATTTGAGAAATAAATTAATCTTTGGGTGCTAAGTTCTTCTTTTGATCCCTGCAACTCACATAGCTTCCACAGTAGAAGAGATCTGTTAGATTGTTAGAGAATTTACGGTCGTTTTCCCCGGAACTTACAATGCTTTGCCGTTGTCATTGAGGATGACTGATGAGATGAATAATGATTTATATGAGTATGAAGTATTGCATACTCATAATCTCTTAATTGCATGCCTCACGCCACGTATAAAATTTTGATTATATAAATCAACAATTGAGGCAAATGGATAAGTGAATAGCTTAAACAATCTAATGAGTAGTTTAAACAATCTAATCATCTAAGTCAACCTCCTACATGGTTATTTAACAGAGTATGATCGAAGAATTATGATGCAAGTTGAAAATGTTGTCCTGTTTTAATTCATATGTTGATATATCAATACATCATTGCATCCTAGCCCTCTCCATTCGCCTTGAATGTGCTTTGTTTTACATCTACATTCACAATTAATAATATGGTTTTATTATAATGAGAAGTTTGACCTGCAATTGTACTTGAGTCCTATATAAGGATCTTTGTTTGCATCTCCCAGAGTAGGGAAGGCTTTTCTATCTCAAAATAGTGCAAGTATTTCCGTATGTTTCTGTCCTCCCTTTTGGAACAACAATTAACATTGTGTAGTATAAGTACTTGTTTAGCGTAATATACTTGTGACTGCTAATTCAAAGTGTAGTTTATACCTGCATTCTAACTGTTCACTCATTGCACAGGTAAAAACTCAAGATGGGCACTTCAGTTTCTGATGAACCAGTTGCAAATGAATCAGACATTCATAGCTTGCCTTCTTCTCGCCGACACACAGAGAACTTGCCATCACTTTACAAGGTGGGTTTCCACCCTCGGAAGAAATTAATGAGAGAGTTCACTGAAACTATGAAGGAGACTTTCTTTGCTGATGAGTCGCATTTCTACTAGTAATACTGGAAATTTTGGGGGAACACACTCCTACTAGTAATACTGGAAATTTTGGCTATGAGTTGCATTTCGGAGGTAAGTTTTTCTCCTTTGCTATCTCTCGAGATTTCTCTTAACTATATATAACTAAGGGGAAAACATAAACTCAGATAAGACTGATAAAGGGTTGGAAGAACCTAGAGGATCAATCTTCTAAGGTTGGCTTTGACGCCATAATGATTTCTGTTAAGAGTTGGGAAAATTATCTTAGTATGGTGCTTATAATACAACTTGCATTAGATGATAGGTGTACTTTTGCCAACGCAAGCCTGGATCAGTCTTCAGAAGGATGGCTTGCCAATTGCTTATCCGATATTGATACGCATCGTAGTTCTGGTGAAATGTCAGTACAATTTCTATAACATGAGCTTATATCTACGTGTTTGTTACTTTCTTCACTCTAATTTACAAGTCCAAATGTTGATGTAGGTCTTCGTTTATGAATGACTCTTTATATGTTGCTGATTCTTTTTTATGTAAACATGTGTTAATTGGATTGCTCTTTTGATGTATGCTAAGCATCACTAGTTTATATGCAACTCACAAATTTATGAATTTATTTATTAGATATTAAAAAAACTTAAGAGTTGTATGCTATTTGCATTGCTTGTTGTTATATGTCTACATCTCTTGCATATACTTGAGCTATTTACCCATATTTAATTTGTTGTTTTTATCTTTGGTGCAGGTTACACATGTTGGTGCAGTATCTAATAGCTTGTAATGTGGGGAAACTTATGTTTTATATGTATATTGAATTAGTATTGGAACTTTAATGTTGTAATTGTTTGTTTTAATAATATATACAGTTAATTCATATGAATATAATTTAGTTGTTCAATATTGTGTACATGCCCAAAAGTAGATCCTGCAAAAAAAAACTATAGCATATTATCCTAGACGGAAATTCCGTCTAGGATGCTAAAATTCTGTCTAGGATGATTTTTTTACAAAAAAAAAATTAAAAAAAAATTAAAAACTTCAATTTCCGTCTAGGATGAGTATCCTAGATGGAAATTTCCGTCTAGGATACTCATTCTAGACGGAAATTTTTTCCGTCTAGGTTGCATTATTCTAGACGGAATTTCCGTCTAGAATAATCCGTCTAGGATGTATTCTAGATGGTTTTG